AGTTGGTTGCATCATTTTATAATTGACTAACTCAATGACATGAAAGGAGTCTTCTACACCAATGCCTTTCCAATAGTTCCATAGTTCTGTTTCTTACACTTGGGCCTTTGATGCATTTGGGGTTATTATTATTATTATTTGTATGTGGTGTGAGGAAAGGATCCAAATTCATTCTCTTGAATGTGTATATACAATTGTCCTGAATCCATTTATCAAAAATACTATTCTGTCATCGTTAAATTATCTTGCCACCCTTTCCAGAAATCAGTTGACTATAAATGCAAGGGTTTATTTCTGGATTCTTAACGCCATTCCATCAATATGTTTGTCCAGCTGTATCAACCTCATCACACTCTTCATGTGACTTTATAGTAAGTTTTGAAATGAGGAGAGAGCTCTTTACCTTTGAACAGCTTTACAATTTTTGGCAGGTTATTTGGGGCTCCTGTATTTCCATATGAAAACATCAATTTTTGTATGAAAGCCAGATGGAGTTGCATATGTAATTTTTCAAATGATGAAGTTATTAACCTCAAAATATATACTTCTTACAAAAATGAAAAGTATCTTCTCTAAAATTCATAGATTTATGATGGATAATATTTACTATAATGACTTAGTAGCTATATAAGAAATTGGTGCACAAAGGCTTTCTAGAGGAGAGTACAAAAAGATATTATCAACATTTTGTAGACTTCAGAGGATGTCATCGAGATAGGTAAGGGGCAGGAACAGTGTTGCGAAAAGAGAACACAGGATGTTCTTCCTGCACAGGCACATGAAGGATGCTGGTATTCTTAGGAAACTGAGTATTCATGAGAGCTATTATGTTTTAGAATTGATTATGCAAAATGATTTAAAGGAAGTAATTATGAGATGATAAACTATTAATCACTAAAATGCTTATATGTTCACATAGGTTGCTCTAAATGCTAAGAAGTTAGTATTCTACAGAGTAAGGATCTAAAATATGAATAACATATAAATAATTCATTAAGTTTTTAACATTAAAAAGAAGTGATTAGGTGTGGAGTTTGGCTTATCAGTTAAGAAGCCTGTTAACATGCCTGCAGCCCACATCAGAGTACCTGGGTTCACTCCCTAACTCGGGCTCCAGATTCTAGCTCTCTGCTAATGTGCACTCTGGGAGGTAGCAAGTGATAGTACAAGTTTGCCACCCCTATTTGAGGTCTAGACTTAGATCAGATGTATCAGCTGATGGGAGCTTTCTGTGTCTCCTCTCTCAAAAAAACAAGATAAAATAAAACAATCAAAAGCTTCTTTAAAAAAGTGATATCTGAGATAAATTTGGTAGGAAAATCTTTAATTGGAAAATCAAATATATGGTCTGGGGGCCAGTATTGTGATGCAGTGGGTTAAACTGCTGCCTGCTATACTGGCATCCCGTATCAGAACACCTGTTCATGTCCTGTAGGAGTCACAGCTTCTCTGGCTCCTTGCTAATGAACCTGAGAAAGCAGTGGAAGGTGGTCCAACTACCTGGGCATTTGACCCTATGCAAGAGACCTAGATGGATTTTCTGGCTCCTAGCTTTGGCCTGGAACAGACCTGGCAGTCATGACCAATTGGGGAGAGAACCGGCAGATGCAAGATCTCTTTCTCTTTCTCTACCTCTTTCTCTGTCACCCTGGTTTCAAGAAATAAAACTCTCCTCTCTCTCTCTCTCTCTCTCTATATGGTATTATATACACAGTATATATAAAGCATTATTTAAAAAGCAAATAAGTGTACAGCATTATTAAAAAGGGGAATAACTATCACCTTCCATCATAAGAAGCACACATTTTTGTCCATACACTCATCATTTTGGCAGGTGTCTCTAAAAAACTAAAGCCCAGAGTGTTTAGAATTAAAAAGTAGCCAGCCCCATCAACTAATTCCTTCATTATACATTAAGTAGCTAAAGTTTGGAGACATTTAGGAATGTCAGGGTTTATGGCGCTATATTTTAAGAAATCATTCATTCTTTTGTATGTTCACTTCACTTAATCATTGGTGTGAGCTGTAATTGAATCTGAATTTGATTCAATGTCTAATCAGGCATTGGAGAAAGAAGGGTGAGATGCATCCTGCTGGGAGCTCCATTATCCTAGGAGTCCAATGAGAAATCAAAAGGAGGGCAGGCGATTATAACTATTTTTAATTGAAATGTTTTGGGAGAATTGGGAGAATGGAGCCTGAAGTTCTTGGGGAGGGAGGAGAAGGAAGGAAAGCATCACTGAGTAGCAGCACTGAGCCGAGATTTGAAGGGGAAATTGCTGAGATAGGTAAGGCTAGGACAATGCTCCAAAGAGAACATGGCCTGTGCCAACCCACTAATGTGTGGCAATATTGGTAAAAACCACAAGTATTCACCAGAGCTTTTTCGTGGGCTCGATGGTGCAGAATGAGCAGAAAGTGGTAAACAATGAGATTATGAAGGATTTCGAGTGCCATACAGGGATTAAACCTTCACCTGTGGAGTTTCATCATAAAATTTCTACCCAAGTGCCAGGATCAGAGTTGCTTTCAAGGCTCTTGGGTTAGTGGTGTGGAGGGTGGATCAGAGGGCACGTGACGCCAGAGGCAGGCAGGCTGCTGCTCTGTAATGGGAGTGAGACATGACGAGGAGTAATTAGAGCTGCAGGAACGGATCGGTAGGAGGGGACACTGAACAGGCTGGCTGATGATTACCTTGGATCTTGAAGGGAAAACAGAATGTAAAATGAGTCATCTACTCCCATAGATTGTTTGTGTCTCCCCCAAAGTTATTTGTTGAAGTCCCAGTTTCCAATGAGAAGGTATTGGGAGGCAGAACCCTTGCAGATCATCAGGTCCTAAGTGTGGAGCCTCCAGAGACGGGATCGCGCCCTTAGGAAAGGGTCCCCGCTGGCTCACTCAGCAGCTTTTCTACCATGTGAGCACACAACAGAGAGGGCAGTCCGCGAGGGCCATGCCAGCTCTCTGATTTCACACTTACAGCCCCCACAACCAGGTGACATAAAGTTCTGTGATTTAGAATCTTCCTAGTCTATGAGATTTTGCTATTGCCACCTGAAGTACCATGTTTTTCCTTTTCCATGAATATGAAGGATGACATTTATAATTTTCATACGTGTTTATCATATGTAATTAAAGTAGACTAAAATATCCGAAGAGATAAGGACAGTGCATTACCGGTTTGAAGGATCTTACATGAAATGTGAAATTTGTATTTCCTGTCTTTTCTTAACCCAAACTGCAAATGTAACTCAGTGTGCATAGAGGCAGTGATGCACCAAGGACAGATAACAAAACCATTCCAGTATGGTTTCCCTAGTGCAGATTCTCATTACTTTGTTCCCTGTACTCTTTCAAAGTGTACACAAAGATTATTAGCTGAGGGAGGCGATGTAGAAATGTACAAAAAATGTAGACACAAGCACCTGCCTAGGAGCAATTCAGCCTCGCTGGTTTATTTTAATAAACATCACTCACTATGCACAAGAGTCCGTCATTCAGGGACAAAGGCAAGAAACACAGATACCGTGTGCAAAACAGGGTTTGGCCAATACAGTCAATGCTTCCTGAACTTCTGAGAAATTAGGTCCATGTGACTAACAGATTAATTTTTCCTAAGTGAAAATCACATAAGGTCTATGAGTAAGTGGTTATATTGTGGTTAATCCTCATACCCTTCTCACCACTGACTGCTACATTCAAAGAGTAATTTCTTTTGTCTGTCAACTTTTTACGCAAACAAAAAATATGAAAAAAAAGAAGGGGAAGAGGGTATCTAATTTAAGATTGGAAATGGCATTAAACTGTTAAACAGGTCATTTACTGTAAGATTCCATAGGGTCTTTACTGTGCCAGTGAGCATTGCAAATTGCTAGCTGCCTGCATTTTTTAAGGAGTATAGTTAAGTTCTGTTAGGGCTTCATAGGGCCAAGCAAAAAATATTAAAATATAATGAAATAAGACAGTACATCCATGCTTATTTGGTTCATTTGCTTTTCATGTGGTTGGGAGCAGGGTAGGACTGAAAGATGTAGAAGTACAAAACATGGAAGAGTGGTCGGAAGACTGCATGACACTCGGCAGGAGGCCATCTCCGACAACTTCAAGACCTAAGGAGAGGGTGTTTAAGACACTGGCCCTAAAAACAAAGAATGGTGCCTGGAACTGAGGCACCATTCTTTGAAGTGTGCTATGTGGAACACTTTAATGCTCACCCCATCTAGTAGTTGCCTTTGAATATGAAGATAGGAGTAAAAACATACCGTTTTTTTCTCCTCGTTTTACAATCACTGAGCAATCATGACTCACAGATCATAAATCACACATAACTTTCAAGTTTTAGTTTATTTACCAAGAATCATGATGAAGACCACAAGGAAAAGAAAGCTCTGCTCAGCCGGCGCCGTGGCTCAATAGGCTAATCCTCCACCTTGCGGCGCCGGCACACCGGGTTCTAGTCCCGGTCGGGGCGCCGGATTCTGTCCCGGTTGCCCCTCTTCCAGGCCAGCTCTCTGCTATGGCCAGGGAGTGCAGTGGAGGATGGCCCAGGTGCTTGGGCCCTGCACCCCATGGGAGACCAGGAAAAAGCACCTGGCTCCTGGCTCCTGCCATCGGATCAGCGCGGTGCGCCGGCTGCAGCGGCGGCCATTGGAGGGTGAACCAACGGCAAAGGAAGACCTTTCTCTTTCTCTCTGTCTCTCTCTCTCTCACTGTCCACTCTGACCATACAAAAAAAGCAATATAAAAAAAAAAAAACGCTCTGCTCAAAGGCATTGGAAAGAAAAGACCTGGAATCCTCTAGAGAATGAGTCCGTTTCTACCTGTCTTTGGAAATGACACCTGTTATTCATTGCGTAATGAAAAGCATGGTATCACTAATGTTTATCATTTCCATTTCTTGGAGTCCAAGTGATAACTCTTGCATGTGTACACACATGCATGCACATGTTCAGGTATGTGCACACATGCAGATACACACACACACATACACACACACGCAGTTTCTCCCCAAAATAGCCTCATTCTTTTATTTGATGATTCAATACATTTTTAATTAAAATAGTCACCACATAACCTAGGCACAATATTAAGCATTTTACAAGCAAAGTAGTTTACTGATTTTCTTTTCAATTGCCAAAGAGTATAGTAAGTGGGCTTGCTAAAGGATATACTTCTGTACATAAAAATATCCATGTATTTATACAAGTGTATGGAACAGAGTTTAAAGATAATAAAACTGCAACATCGCAATAAATAGGATGTGTTCCTACAGCACAGGAAAGCACGCCTTGTGAGGAAGCTGCCGAGTCTCTGTTTTCAAGGTGCTTTATGGTCTTCTGAGCTAGGCTCACAATCCCCCCAGAAGGGTTAGGTTAGTAATGATTGGATCTGCATGTCTTCTTTCATATGTTGTATTTTATTTGCATACCCAATAACAGGGGTAGAAGACAGGATAATTTAATTATTTTCAAAGTCATTCCAACTTACCAATTCTATTGACTTCCCACTTAATAGTTTAAAATGCAGATTACTCTAAGCTCTAGCACCATACAAGAATGAAATACATGTATTTTTTTTTGTCAGAGCAACAATATTTTATATCGTCTTTGTTCCTCTGGCTATAACAATTCTGTTTAGAAAAAATTTACCAAGCTAAAAATAGTTGATCTAGGTTGTCATAAAAAAGAATATTAAATACCTTTGGTAAAAATAGATATATTTAACAAGATTAGAAAAGGCAACAGTTATAATGTCAAAAGGAGATTATAAAATGTACACAATAAAACAAATAAACCAACTTATAGATAAAGTGAGGATAAGGCCACTCTTCTTTCAAGGTCTGCCTCTTCCAAACCATCATTATAGTTCTTTTCTTCTAAATGGCAGAGATTTTATCAAGAAATATGGAAAATCCAGTCTTTCTTACCAGCAACACACACCTGTAATTCATAGCAACATAGTTCCTTTTGAAAAACCAAGTTTTCAGAACACAGACAATTCTGGTTTACACGTGTGAGGCCCAGAGCGCGGAGCTGTACAGTCGCGGAAGGGAAGAGAAGCAGGCGTCCGTCCGTTCACGTGCACTCGTCCCTCTCCTGACACCGACCTAAGTCCTATCACCACAGCTGGAATACAGAAGGCAGCGAGCGAGCGGAGGGCGAGCCTGGTGACGGGGTAACTAGCTAGAGAGCCGCAACTCCTCTTTTTCTCCCACGATTGAAGAGCTTGTCTCCGGTCCTTTGGGCCAAAGAGCTGCTGCGCAACTCCTAATTCCTGTGGTATCTCCTCTTTTAGAACGCGCTGCAAATCCTGAAGACGGAGGTCCTTGAAGCAAACAAGTGAGGTTATGGAAGGAGATCACGCGAGCCTCAGTTCGCCGTCGGCGTCAGCCGCTGCCCCGCGCAGCTCTGCGAAAGGGCCGCCGGGACGTTTACCCTCCCGCGTTCCCTCTGCACACACAGTCACACGCCTCGTGATGCTCCAGGGCCACGTCGGTGAGTGATTTATGCAAACCCCTGACACCAATCTTTGGTCTCAACTGCAGGACCTGAAAGGGAACAAGACAAACCACCTTTAAAACCAATGTCTACAACTGCAGATTCCACGTGCAGGTAACAGTGCAGAAAAGAACTTTGGGCCCCACAAAGACAAATTTTCCCGCTTCCTAGTGAACGTGTTAAGAAAATATTCCCCACCCAAGGAAAACCATAAACTTTAGTCATCGTTTCATGAAGGAAAGGACATGGTCACGTCAACTGCTTGGAATCACAACCGTCTCAGAAAAAGAAGCTTTTACATTGAAAGACTCACTATGGCACTGGACTTTGCTTAGCTAATTATGCTGGAGAGAATTTCACCTTAAGTATTTTGGAGCTACTAATGCGCAAGTCATTTTTTTTCTGTTTGTTGGTTTCTTCTTTCATTCATTTATTCACACACTTAAAAAATATTGATACTTGAAGCCATGCACTCAAGTACAGGAATACTGTGCAAAGAAACACGATCACTGCACAGCTGAGTCTGCTCAATTATGCCACTCATTAATTTTCTTGGCTACACTTCAAGTCCTCTATAAACTTGATGAGATGGATTAGATGTACTTCATAGACATCAGCTTCAGTCACAGCTAACTTTGCGCAGCTGGATCCTACTGTGCAGTGCAAGTAGGTTTGCATTTGCATCGTCGAGATCTCTAATAAGAATATCGCAAGATAGATGCCGATACTAAACATATTTCCTTTCAGCACTGTGACAAAGGGATATGGCTGTGCATTCTACCAAAGATTTAGTATTTATCAGTGGTAGCTAGATATTAAAGTGTATTAGATTTTATTTCTTCTAACAGACATGATAAAGTTTCAGAAACTGTCTTTTGTTTGGATTATGAACAGAGATCAGAACATATAATAATGTGAAGTTGTCTAGCATATTTGGTTTCTGGATACGACACAGACAACTTCTAAAACCTATCATTCCTGTACATTGTCATTAATTTCAAAAGGCACAAATCAAGTCTCTTGATTGTTCTACTCTAAGACTTAAAAAACAAAACTGGAGAACGCATATCTCATTTGGAGTGTGTGGTTATACCAGAGGTTAATTAGCTAACATTTTTTGAATGCTTACTGGATGCCGGGCACAATAACAATGTTTTCACATACTTTAACTCACAAGAATTCTATGAAGTAATTTACAATTATTACCCATATTTTACACATGAGTGAACAGCCGTTATTTGTACCTTTGCCAAATGTGACTTAGTGATAGACAATGATCGCATAAAGACTTAGAATATTACTATTCATACTTTCCATTTATTTGGTAACTTTCTCCCTAGAGCGATAAACTTCAAAGCCTTATAATGATTATCAGATAGTAAACTTTTAGAGTACATTGTTCCAATGTGACATTCCATAATTCCAGAAGAAAAATGACAACTACTGCATTACTTTATTGTGAAACTGAACCCAGTTTCTACCGAATGTTATTTTCTATCAGAAATGACTTACCATTCTTGAGCAACCTAGGGTGACACCCAAACTAATTATAGGTAAGATTTGCTCTTGCTATCGATTGTTCCTGGAATGAGGCTGGATGGGTAAGATGAACTACAACATTGACATAGCTAATGTCTTCAATTCCTTTCGCCATATGTATTTTCCCATTCATAGAAAAAACCTGAATGAAGGTGAAGGTGGGAGAGGCCACCATCTTCAATCCTAACAGAGGCAAAAGCTAGACTTTCCTTGCCTGCTTCAGCATGCTCAGGCCAAGAAGTACTTGCTGAATAAAAGCCACCAGTTTGCCCACTGATGCTTGTCGAAGCTTGGAAATAGCAGAATCCCATAACTTTCTAAGTCAGGGATATAAAATTCTAGATAGTGGGGGATGTTATTAGGGTTTTCCTTTTTAATTCTTTTAGACAAGTTTACTGTCTTGCAGGTGACCCAGGAGGCCACCCAAATAATGTTAAAGAAAAATTCAGCTTTCAAGACGTGGATTATGGGGGCAGCTAAGAGTGAAGGCAGAGGTATATCTCAAAATGTTTTGGGAAAGAGCTTCCAACTAAAAGTACAAATCCATGAAAAAGAAGTCCAAGGGAAAGCTCAAAGCAGAGATGATGGAGGTGAACAGAGGAGACACAAAGAACTGCCTCAGAACAGATGTCTGTGAACCTCTGCTCAACAGCCTTCAACGTTGCGGGATTTGGAGAGCACTGGGGAGCAGGATTCATTACAACAGTAAGTCTTTGGATGGTACACGTCTTCCTCAGAACAAACAGATCGGAGGTTAGAACTCTATACCTTATATTAAAAAAAGAAGGTAAATATATGTAGATATAAAATGAAAATCATTAAGCTGATTCAAAATGAAGAAAGAGGAACAAATATATTACTATTGTGAGATCCTAGAGATCTTTCGGCCATATTCACTCACGTAGGCAACTTCATTAATATTTTATTATTTATTCATAATAGAAGAATAAGTGTGGACATGGCAAGAAAAATAAAGATTAGCTAATTTCAAGGGCTTTACATGTGCCAAAGCTTGTTCTAAGTGTTCTGCAAGTCCCGACGTATTGTATCCTTACAATAAGGACTGAGGGTTGGAAACTCAACTTTACTGATGAGGAAACTGGGGCATAGGGAGTTAAGTAATTTGTTCAAAGTCCCAAAGCAAATTCCAGATTCAAAACTGGGGTGTGTGGCTTCGGAGTGTGCGTTGTCAAACACTGCAGTGTAAAGTCATCTTTGTTTTCATTACCTCTTGGTTTGCTAGAAACCAAGAGAAATAAACAAAGATGTTGAAAATATAGAAGTTCTCTAACAGGGATGTCTTTGAAGTCCCATAGATGTGTATGCCACGTTGGAACTAGCAGGTTACTGTTAGGACACCTGTGCTGAGGAGAGACTAACAGTAGTTATCACGGGGCAGGGAAGACACTAAAAAACATCTCAAGGAAGCGGTGAGGTCTAAGGTCATACATATGGAAGTTCCAGACTTGCTTTTCTGAACACTTCTATTCAGTGGGTGGAAAAATTATTAAGGGAATATATTTATTTAGCTAAAATGGCTTCCAAAATAGAGATCTACAGATTGACTAAAGCATGAAGAATGGGGCCAGTGAGTGGGGCAGCAGGTTAACCTTCTGTTTCCAGTGCCGGCCACTTGGATTCCCAGCTGCTCCACCTCCAATCCACCTACCTGCTAATCCGCTTCCTGGGAAAGCAGTGAAAGATCGCCCAAGTGCATGAGCCACTGTCACCCCCGTGGGAGATCTGGATGGGGTTTCAGGTGGCTGGCTTCAGCCTGGCCCATTTGGGGAGTAAACCAGCAAATGCAAGATATCTTTCTCTGTGTCTCTCTGTCTCTCCATCTCTGTCTTTCCCTCTCTTTCTGTAATTTTGCCTTTCAAATAAATAAATCTTTTGAAAAAATGAAGCAGGTTTTAAATAAAAAATTAAGAGTTAAAAAAGCACTAAGAATCTTACTAATAACAATATGATGCCATATTATTTTGCTATCATTAACACCATGACAATAATAACATCTTATATTTTTTGAGCTCTTAATTTTCTAAACTTACTTTTAATATTCACAATAGTTGAACAAAACCCAGTAAAAGTGGTATAGGAAACCAAATGAGGGAATAATTCAGTTTTATATATATAGTTCAAAAAAGAATATGATTCTAGTCTGATACTTATGAAAGCTAGTACATAGATGAAAGAGAGAAAAATTAGAACTTCTAAGATGTCTTTATTTTATTTCCATGAGGTGAAATGATCTTCAAACTGAAAACTGGAACAATCACCAAAACTAACTAACGTCATGATAAACCTGTCTTTAATTGAGTTAAATCTCTTGGTTCAGATGAATAATATTCAATTATCTAGTAATTTAAAACAAATTTAAATTATGCTAAAACATTTTCGATTATTTAGAGGAAGTAGTAGACTCAGACTTTATTTCCAGGAAATAAGAAAATCTCAGGCCTCAGAAATTATTCCATATGGTAAAAAAAAATTACAAAAATATTACTGAAAAATTAATGATTCCCACAAAGCATAAAAATTAGGTATTCTTGCTGCTGGAAATGTAGACTATGTCACTTTATCTGTCTGTACTCACCTGTGTATGCGAGGCATTTGAAGGACACTAATGGATGATCACGTAACTATCACATGTGTAGACCAACACCCATAGTTATGCATGAACATATGTGTCTACACATGCACAAGGCATGAATATGTAATCAACCTCACCCAAGATGTCATTCTGGAAAGAAGCCAGAGTCTACAGGTACTGTCACAGGCTTGCCCCAAACAAGATTTTTTTTATCTAAGGCTTGAAACAGATACTGCACACTCTGTGTCAATTCTGGGGATAGCCCTGGGCTAAGGTGACTTTGAAAGATATTTACAAGTATAGTATGGAGGAGGATGTGCTGGACCTGGGGACTGATTTGGTTGACCACAAGCATGATACAGATTCAGCATCTGATAAACTAGTTTTAGAATGCGACTATGTCATGTTTGGGTTTATAGATCATAGAAAAGCATTTGTAAATGCTAATTTGTTGTCCTAGAATAAACTCTGCTTCTTCAGTACCTGCTTAGCAACTGCAAAACTGATCGATTTTTAGGTGGGAGAAGATCACTCCAGTTTCACCCACATTCTCACTGCATCCTTTCATGTTCTGCCAGGTAATTCTGATATATGCCCAGCCCTTACGGCATTTTAGTTTCTATGTAACTTTAAACCTACCATGGTAAGGGTTTTTCTTGCCTACAGTCCCAGTTCTGGAGTAGTAGCAAGAGCTGTCTGGAGCTCTGTGAGCCACCATGTCCTTGTATCTACTTGAACCCTGAGTAGCGCTTCAGTTCCCCTCACAGATCTTTAGAACTCTAGGGCAGATGCCGGCACAGCGGCTCACTAGGCTAATCCTCCGCCTAGCGGCGCCGGCACACCGGGTTCTAGTCCCGGTTGGGGCGCAGGATTCTGTCCCGGTTGCCCCTCTTCCAGGCCAGCTCTCTGCTGTGGCCAGGGAGTGCAGTGGAGGATGGCCCAAGTGCTTAGGCCCTGCACCCCATGGGAGACCAGGAGAAGCACCTGGCTCCTGGCTTCGGATCAGCGCGGTGCGCCAGGATATGGTCCAGTGTTTGGGCCTCTGTACCTACCACGTGGGAGACCCAGATGAAGCTACTGGCTCTTGGCTTTCACTTGACCCAGTCCCTGCCATTGAGACCAGCTGGGGTGTAAACCAGAGGATGGAAGATTTCTCTCTCTCTTTCTCTCTAACTGTGCCTCTCAAATAAATAAAAATAAATCTTAAAAGAAAAAAACACCAAAATCTATGGGGCAAAAATGAAAGTAGAATGTGGATAACAACAGTCACTCTATTTTCATTTACAGTTTGACAATTTAGGGTGTTATCTTCTAAAAGACTGCCACCCAGTAGTTGTCATGGAATAATGCAGCTAGGAAAAGCCAGAGAGATTATCCTGGTTTATACTTCTTTTATCGAGGCTGTGTGTCCTGATGACAGTGACAACAAGTCAATGGTAGAAACTGGAAAGAGTCCCTTTTCTTCTGGATTCCAGAGCTTTCTTCTCCACGTTCTCAGCTGCCAATAGCACTTGGTGAAGGGCGGGAAACTCATGTCCTGTGAAGTACCTGTTCTAATGACCTCTCAGAAGAAGGTTTTACGGATGCCGCTTCGCATAAAAAATGCATTTATGAAGCAGATATTTATTCTGTACTATGACTTAGTATGTGGAAAAATTAAAAAGTAAGGAAAAGAAGGCATGTTGAAATGAAACCAGATGGGCCGATTTTGGGCGGCTGTCATATAAATATTTTGCTGAAATTAAAGGTGACTCATTGAGAGGACGTTAGTTCCTGATTAACATATGGTGCGTGATACTGAGGGAAAAGTTGAGGCAGGATTCAGCATATCCCAGCACTGATGACAGGGTTGTGTCCTAACATTTGCAAAGCTCTAAAAACCATCAATCCTAACACTTCATATTATACTTTCCTTAATTCCAGAGGAGAAAGACAGAAAAAGTAAAGACTCTTTAAAACATTTTGTGTGCTATTTGATGCCAAATGAATGATCCAATGATTAGTAAAATTATAAATATGTCCTCTGACATGTGCTCACATTGACTGAAATAAAAATAAATATCAGAGATCTCCTTTCTCCAAAACAGTCCATGATTTAGTCTGAAGTTTGTCTTTAAAGTTTTCCTTTCATAGTTTGAAAAATTTAAAAGTTGGAAAAACTTCACCCTTTTGTTTTTTCCGTCAGTAGAACACATTTTCTTGTTTTGGTATGACAGGTAAAGCTTCCTTGACTAACCATGATATACTACCAGAGTGTAAGCTCTCTGACTCCTTAATGCCTGGGTTTTTAAATTAAAGGCTCAGTAAAAAAATAAAACAAAACAAAACAAAACCAAAACAAACAAACAAAAAAAACAACTATTTGTAAACGCTGTTTTTTTTCTCTCAGGCATGCAACATCTCCATCCCAAACGTGAATCCATTTTAGACCGACTGTTTTGTCAGACCTGGAGTACCTGAAGAAAACCATGAAGGAATATACTTACCTCATGGTATTTTTTAGTGACTTTGCTGGGGACACACTGACATTCATTGCAATTGTGCAGACAACAGGCGCAGTTGCCACCACAGCGTTTAACCAGGAGACAACCTGGCCAGAAAATGGTATCGGTTCTCTTTAATTCTTCCCTTATGGACACGGAGAAGTTACGAGGGGTGCAGCTGTACAACCTCACCTCTTCTTTCAGCAGGTTCAGATCCACCACTGCAAGACACGGCAGACAGTGAAGAGAAATAGACGCTCACGTCCTGGGCCTGGGTGCCTTTCATTCAGAAATCTAGTTATTTCATGAATAATTGCCCTAACAATATTCCTTCTGAGTTTAACCAGGTTTTGGGGCTCTACAGCTCACAAATTGGACTTTCTATTTCGTAGTAAACAAAGCTTCATTATGACTAAGTGACCAATAAAGAGATGCTGTTGTGCACTATTAAGAACAGAGCCAAAAACACAGTTGAGAACTATAAATAGGAAACTTGATAGAGAAAGAAAAAAGGGCTGTTCCTTTTAACTTCAGTAAAAAAAAAAAAAAATGTAGACAAGGAGAGCATTGGAGGGAAGACTAGAACGTAAAAGGATGAACGCTTTGATTAAAAAGCCAATGCAATTTTTAAAAGGATTACAGGCTCAAATAATTACTGAAGAACAAGTTCACGAAACACATCAAGAGAACTTCCCATATCATAATCTTTATGGCGATAGGAATCACAAAATGTAAAAAAGGAATGAAGAAAATGTACTTTTACAGACAGATGATTGGACCATGAGTGAAAACACTATGCATTGTCTAAGAGCAAAGTTGTTGAAAAGCACAGCCTCAAACAGAGTGAGTAATTTATGACCTTGGAGATTGAGACTAACTAGATTCCTCAGGTTTCTATCTTTCCCTTGCTAACGGATGTAAGAAATGTCTAATTTATAACCATTGTCTCTATTCTTTTAGCCAGTTGTTTAACTGTATTGTGCTTTCTTTTAGAAGAATACCTATTTGTGAAGACTAAACAAAATACTCTTTCATCAGAGTGTTGCAGTAAATCCTCAAAGAACCATTATTTTTAACTACAAAATGACAGTGCTGTAAGAAAATTATGTCAGAGTAAAATGTCCTATTTAATATGAATTTATACATAACACACGAACAGCAGTTCTTAGGACAGATACCTAAAATTTTCATTTCTGTTTTGTAGCTCTGCTTATTTTTCCCCTGGAAATATCCAAGTAAAGTCATTCCAATAAAATTCAAGAGTTTCCAACAACAAATTCCTTCAGGCTTTTGTTTTTTAAATTTACAAACATTATCTAAAATATAATCAATCTTGTTAAATGCTTTTCATTAATATGGAAAAGCATCAACATGAATTAAAGGAAAATATTTTTAGATAAAGATGACTTAAAATGGGAACAATCACCATATAATCCAATTTCATAAATTAAGTACTAATATCTCTCAATAACTTTAAAATGGTGAGCAAATTAAGAATCAAATGCTGTTTTCTTGGCATTGTTATACTTATGGATATAATCAGGCTTTTCCAAATTGTTAAAGAGAGGAAATTTGAGTATTTCTAAGAAACAGAGGATAAAATTATGCATATGCAATTATAAATTACAAGCATATAAAATATGATGAACTAAAACCCAGGTCAAGCAATGCTAATTCAAAGGTTCCATTTCAAAATGTAATTCAACTAAAAAATTATTTTCAATTCAATAGCAAACCACTCTTTGAGTATTTAAAGATTTCTTTTTCATCTAAAAATGATCCTGTGAAAGCAAAGCTTTTATATATTTAAAAGCAAATGAGTTCATTCTTTCAAGCACCCTGAAGAGACCAACATATTTCTAATAAAATTAATGAGATCATTAGAGTAAATGATGTCACGTATTTTACCTGATATCATTTTGCTGAACTAACATGATATTTATACATTCCTCTTTTGTTGGTAAAGCTATATGTAAGTTTATTTGAAATTTTTCTCTAGAAATGAATATCTAAGCAACAAAGAAAAACTAATTAAAAACACGCAGAAACTTAAAAGCTCGTTGCCAAAATTTTGAAAGTTTAATATGTGTGTGCCTTTACAATGTGAAAGAAATTCTTAGTTTTCAAAGGATAGTTACCTATCTCAAATAGTTTTAAAAACACTATTTCATGAAACTAGAAAAACAGACTGTATACGTTCCCTTTAAAATGTTTACTTAACCACAATAAAAGGTTAGAGAGATTTCCCAAGTGAACTAAGTTATGATACCTGCTACAATGTGAAAATTTAAACACACTTTCAACTTAGCTTCCACTCATTTATCATGTTTGACACAAAGTCAAAAACTCTTTTTAAGCACTAGTTAGGCTTGATTTAGAAAATCTGGTTTTTTTTTTTGTCTGTGTGTGTGTGTGCAGTAACAACATCTTAGTGAGAATTCTGAACCAGAGGAAGAAAGGAAATAAAAGAAACAAAAACATTAATGGAGCCCACAGTGGGCTAAGAATGCAATTAAGGACTTTAAATCTGGCACATCATATTTGAAATTTACGTTTCCTCTTCCTAAGGCTTAAACTCATACAAGCTTCATTAAAATAAGTCACATGTCCATAATCTTGTGTCATAAATTCTCCAAACATTGTGCAGAATGTCTGGGCCAAAAAAAAAAAAAAAAAAAAAAAATGGGGGAAAAAATCTGAGAGGGGAAAAAAAGAATCATTTCCCAAAGCAGATATTTTTGTAGGTTAACTATAACATTTAGGACATTTTTCCTTTGCAAAACATTTGTCAAGTAAAACTCTGCTTTCAAACTTTCCTGTTTTCATAATTCTCTCTGAAGACAATACATGTGGTAGGTTGTCTTGCTAAAGGAAGAAGACTTCGAACACACCACCAATCAACATTGTTATTTCTAATGCAAATATCATCAATATTGTTAAGTTTTATCACAAAGGGTAATACTGACAAAAAAATTATGGTCACGTTCTCCTTCGTTAGTTGTTCCTTCTTTTAAGATACTTGATCTAAGGCTATTCTATTACTGAAATGCAACCTGAGGGTGGTCTTGCGAAGATAAATGTGGTAACACTGTGGTATGTTTATTCTGTGGAAAATCTATTTCAGTGTCTAATTAGAAGCTTTTAAAAGTTTTAGTCCTTGTTCCTTTGTAGCAAGACTCTTGGGAGGGGAGTTGGTTTTGTCTACATAGATGTTATCCCACACCTGCATTTTAGTTTATGTAAAGTTCCAAAAATATACACTGCTTTTCTCACACTTACTGTGTGTGCTTAAAAAGTTAATAGTTTTGGCAAACTGCAAAGGGCTTCAATTTTGAAAGTGTTAAATGAATATTTGAAAGCTCTGGTTCAATGCTGACTGCTTTTAAATGCATGCTAGCCCTGCCTGGCCAAATCTTTTTTGCACACCAGGCTCAGAGAGTCACTCAGGAGGCCTGTTTAAAAGGGAGGTTTCTAGGCTTGAATCTAGAAGTCCGCTGTGAACAAGCCGAGCTTAGAACCCTTTCCACTCCCTGGCTTCTTACAGACGCACATGACCGCCTCCTTGAAAACTGCTAACAAGAGCTGTATTCATGGGTGTTCTAGCTAGTCTCTCCGATCTTCATTTTCCTCTTCCTAAGTGGGAGGGAAGGGAAGTGTTGTTCGGAACTTACTCATCAAGTTATTCATCAAGATCAAATCTTATAAATATGGAACAGTTTTCAGCATCTGGACGGGATTTTGCTGTCCCTGCACTTGAACAACCCATTTCAGACACTGCCAAAAGGAATCCACATCTGTCGGCACAGCCAAATACCAAGGCTGGGCAAGTCAGAACATGATCTGCTGAGATTAAAGCTCCTGATCCAAGGGCTGCCAGGCGCAGTGCAGGAAAGCAGGAATCCGGTTTCTTTCTGACAAGATTAAGAAGAACAAGGCTGGTGCAGCCTACCCCTGAGAATGGCTCAAATTCGCTGAATACTGTTCCAGCCACATAACTTCTCAGACTGTCATTCTGCTCTCTGAAGTGACAAGGGGTGCCCTCCAGTGTTTCTGACAGACCAGAGCAGATTTTCTGCATGCTCTATGAGTATCCAGTTATTTCTGTTATATTTTTATTTGTGTCGTTATGGAGGCTTTCTGCCTCTCATGTTACTAGGAGAATTAGCTAACCTTGTAGAAGACTCGGTTAACATCATTTACAATTTCTTGACTATGTGGAATTAGGTCTAATTACTAGCACGTTCACTCTTGAAGGGTGATATTGTCAGAGGTCAAAAGTGATCATTTCAAAAGCAAAGTGATATGGAAAAAATTATCAGGATGTGGGGCCCTTTAGATAATTTTTTTTCTCACTAGGAATCCAAACTTGGAGAGTACTGCCCATTTTATTTTGCACCATTACTATTTTTCATATTATTTAGAAGTTTCCAGGGTAAGGACATAGGAATTGATACAACTTTGACCCCTGGAAGATGTGGTGAAGAATGATTATTTTTAAAACGTCCCCCTCTGCTAGCCCCAGACCTGGTTTTGTGGCTCTGATAGTTTCTACTGTATCTTGAAATCAATATATTCTAAATATTAGGTTTGAGTAAGCAATGATCCTTATGAAATGCAATGAAAGACTTCACAACAATGGTATTTTTGCAGATAAGAACTATGGTATTTTTCAGTCAAAGTAACCCTTTTAATTTTCCAAGCCTGCTAATTTATAATTAAGTGCCTCCTTTTGTATGTATGCTTATTTAACGTACACAAATGTTGGAATGATAAGAAAATGGGTTGTTTGGATTTATCACTGAAGAATTTTAAACTCTAACCTTTAGAAGCTGTGCCTGAAGAATCTGAAACATTAGCTGCTAAGAAAATTAAACGAGGTTCTAATCTGAAAGGGGAGCTTACCTCTGGATTTTCTTCCAAAAACAAAAGCCTTGCCAAGAAGTTGCCAAGTTGGCCTATACAGATCTTCTAAGTCCAACTGCCATCTATCTGGCTCAAGATACCGAATAAGATCTTCCAAAGTACTAAAGGCAGTGACGGCATTATTAAGCAGGTCCAGTGGCAATGCTGAAGCGGGTAGCACTGAAGGGCTCACAGCTTCTGTGAATTGCTGAAAGTAAAACGAATCCCACGTTAACTGCTTGAATCACAACCATGCCCTCATTCTGCATCTCCACGCAAAGTCACAGAGCCTTAAGGCTGAAAATGTATGGGAAGTGAAATTGTTTTAAACCCAAGTAACAAGTAATTACTTTGCAAAGGCTTCATGGAGATGAACTCAGAGATGTTTTTGAAGTCAATGAGAAATACATTATTTCCATTAACACAAACCACGGTGGGTGTGGAAAACTTTTGCTCCTATTAAAAACATGGACATATCTCCAACTTTTCAACTATGGACTTACAATGGAAACTATATTATTGTTTACCAAAGTTTTCTTTTGATTTCCACTTTTTATTGTCCTCAGTCTGGAAAAATCATCGGGTTGTTATGCAAATTACATGTTTTAAAACTTCATACAGGGGCTGGCTTTGTGGCAAAATGGGTTAAGCTGCCACCTACAATGCCAGCATTCCACATGGGCCCCAGTTCTAGTCCTGGCTGCTCTACTTCCAAGTCAGCTCCCTGATAATGATGCTAGGAAAGCAGTAGACAATGGCTCAGTGCTTGGGCCTCGCCCACATGGGAGACCTGGAAGAAGCTCCTGGCTCCTGGCTTCCACCTGGCCGTGCCCTAGCCTTTGCAGCCATATGGGGAGTGAACCAGCAGATGGAAGCTATCTGTCTATCTTTCCTCACTCTAACTCTGCCTTTCAAATAAATAAAATAATTTTTTTAAAAAAAGCTTCATATAAGATAATCCATAAAAGAACTTGAGCAAAATATGAGTGAAAATCCTTTGACCTGGGAGAGTAATTTGTTCATCAGGAAAGAAAATACCTAAACCATAAAAGATCAGTTCTATAAATTTGCCTACAATATTTTTAACCTACAAAAGACTAAATAAACAAATTTAAAAACACAAATAACACAGGAAGAACACCTTGTCGAAAATACCTAACTGTCACAAAATTATCATCCAGAATTTTAAAAACATAAATGACAGGGCTGGCCCTGTGGTGCAGAGGCTTCAGCCAGCACCTGCAGTGCCAGCACTCCATTTGCGCACCAGAAGGACTCCCTGTTGTTCCACTTCTGCTCCAGCTCCTGGCTGGGGTACCTGGGAGTGCAGTGGAAGATGGCCCAAGTCCTTGCATTCCTAAACCCACAAGGGAGACCAGAATGGAGTTCCTACCTTCTGGCTTTGTCTGGCTTAGCCCTAACATTGTGGCCATTTGGAGAGTGAACCAGTGTGTGGAAGATCTCTTTCTCTCTCTCAACCTATCAAACTATGTTAAATTCAACAGTTAGCAGAAAACTGTAAAATACAATGATATTCTTATTCCACATACAAAAAATGAGATGGGGGCCGGCACCGCGGCTCAATAGCTATCTCCCTGCGGGCTGCACACGAGTCTAGTCAGTCCGGCACGATCCGTCTGTGCCCTTTCAAGCAGCTTTCTGCTGTGCGCAGAAGCAGTGGAGGATGGCCCAAGTGCTGGGCCCTGCACCCGCATGGGAGACCAGGAGAAGCACCTGGCTCCTGGCTTCGGATCAGCGCGGTGCGCTGGCCACAGCGCGCGGGGCCGCGGCCGGCCATTGGAGGGTGAACCAACGGCAAAAGGAAGACCTTTCTCTCTGTCTCTCTCTCTCACTATCCACTCTGTCCAAAAAAAAAAAAAAAAAAAAAAAAAAAGAGAGAGAGAGAGAGAGAGAGATGGGGCTTATTCCACATACATAAGGTTGACAAGACTAAGATAAAGGAATAAGGAGCACATACACTGGAATTCCTTTGTTCTGCCTCCAAGAAGGAATGTAATGGCCACGACATTTTAGCTGGTGTAACTGGTGTATAGTGAATACAAGACATACACTTGTCATAGTTTCTTATAATTAGCTTTGAGATTTCTATCCTTTTGTGCACATGAAAGCATCTGCCATGATATTCACCACAGCATTGTGTGAAATAAAAGATCGGGAGCAACTTAATGTCACGTATAGGATTAAAACAAAATGGCAAGCCACAAAATATGACAATAATTCAAACAAAAACGAGAAGCATCAATACCATTTATATATATGGAACTCTTTAAGATTTCTTTATTTATTTGAAAGTCAGAGTTACCAAGATAGAGGGAGAGACAGATAGAAAGATTCTCCCTCAGTTGTCTCACTCTCCAGATGGCCGCTAAAAACAGGGGTGGGCCAGGCTGGTTTGGAGTAGGTGGGACAGGAATTGGTGCCCATAAGGGATGCAGGCATTGCAGGCAGCAGTTTACACACAATGCTATGATGCTAGCCCCCATAAATAGAGCTCTTAAAACTCAGTAAGAACAATTCATTCCCAATTTTAAATGTTGACTAAAGGTAGATAGTGGAAGGTAAGAATTGAAATCAAAATATGAAAAATAATCACAAACTATTTATCAGAATAAAAATATTACTTCCAATGTATAAATGATGAAGAGTACAGAATAAAACATTTATCTTGATTGATATTCATTATAGAAACACAATAGCAAAAACTGGGAGGGATCTAAATTTATAATAGTGGAATTACATTATACTAAAAATGCAATGGTGTATAGCCATGAAAAATGAGGGTCCCTTGGAAAATTTTATTTTAACCAGGGAAATGACAAAATGAAAACTACATAAATATAGCTTTAAAATTACCATGATTCCAGCATGCATAAATTGAAACAAAACAAAAATTAAAATCAAAAGTGCCTAAATGCAAAGCATGTTTATCTATCACATGAGAATCAGTGATTTTAATTTTCTTTCTTATTTATGCCCATATTTCCAACATTTTCTATAATCACTATGGATTCTTTTGGGAAATCAGTTAAAAATAGTATTTGCTATAATAAAAACACCATCACATCAGCTCATTACAGGGATTCTAGGCTTTTACTCAAAGCAGAGGCTACACACAGCAGCTGCTAACCTTGCCTCCTGGCCTTCAAGCTTTCCTTATTCCTTTTTGTTCTATGATGCGTAACCTTAGGTTAATCCACCTAAAATAAGCTATCACGGATCATGCGATGAATTTGGACAAATGCTTATGTGATTTCTCATCTGGAGGATAAAATCCAAATTCCTTACCCAGCATTTGAGACCCTTAAAATCTGACCTCTGCTCACCTTCCCTTTTAATCCCCCACTCATCAAAGACATGCATTTTGTTTCCATCAATCTGGTCTCTTTCACAAACTACTACACATGTCATATTCATCTCGGACTTTGTACCTTTACCCATACTGATGTTGCCCCTCCTCCCCCATACGGAAAATTCTTCCTCTTGTTGATTCACACAGTAAATCTTTACCATTTACAGTGCCTTACAGTGGTCTTGGAAAAAATCCAATTCACGAAAGCTTCCGCAACAACAGGGCAATCACGGTCCCATATATCTCAATTGTGTCCATTTAAGAGACTTGTTCTGTGCGCTGCCTGTGGACACCTGGCTTGAGGATCAGAAGTCCACTCTGTAAACTAATAAAAGGGGCAACTTTCTTTGGGCAGGGACAACCTTTATCAGGGCTCACAATCTTGTAGGTGCAGAGTCCCTACCCGCTGGGGACATTTCAACAAACCATCTCAGGGACAGGACTGCAGTACTAATTTTTTTTTTTTTGTATTTATTTTGAATGACATTGTTTCTGTAAGTTCTATCTCAGTGAGTTTGTGGTTAAAATGCTAATGAATTTTGCTTGTTGCTTTTTTAACCTCCAACTCTGCTGAATTCGCTGATGAGTTAAGAGTAACTTGGTGGAGTCTCTTTTTCCTCCATGTATAGAATCACGTCATTTGTACACATGGAAAATTTGACTTCCTCCTTTCCTATTTGTATGTCTTTGACTTCTTTTTCCTATAAATTGCTTTAGCTAAAACTCTTAGAGAAGTAATGAATAAGAGTGGTGGGATTGGACATCTTTGGTACCAAATCTTAATGAAAATATTTCAGGCATGGAAAGCCAAGACACTCTGGGGAAAATGCTTTCACCTTGTCCCCACTAAATGGGATGCTGGTTGTGGGTTTGTTATGTAATTGAGGTATGTTGAGGTGTGTTGTTTATATGCATAACTTATTCAAAGTTGGTATGCTGTGTTTCATCAAATGCTTTTCCCCCATCTATCAGATGATCCATCATTCTTTGGATGCATTGCAATGCATTGATTTGCATATGTTGAACCATCCCTACAACCCTAGGATAAATCTTACTTGGATAGGGTGGATGATGATTTTATTGTGCTATTGAATTCTATTCGCTAGTATTTTTTTAAGAATTTTTGCATTTATGTTCATTAGGGAGGCTGGACAATAGTTTTTTCTTTTTTTGTTGTGACCTTTCTGATTTTGGAGTCAAGGTAATTCTAGCCTCAGAATGAGTCTGGGTGTTTTCCATTCCTTTCAATTTTTTTGAATATTTGAGAATAACAGCATTAGTTTTCTCTTAAATATTTAGTAGAATTCAGCAGTGAAGACATCTGGTCCTGAGGTTTTCTTTGTTGGGAGACTATTCCTGACTCAATCTCACCACTCAATATTGGTTTGTTCAGGTTTTCTATGTTTTGGGATTTTGGTAAATTACATTTCCAGGAATTCATTCATTTTCTCTAGGTTTTCCAATTTACCGGCATATAATTGTTCACAATATCCCTTGATGATCATTGTTATTTATGTAACATCAGTTGTAGTATCCCTTTTGTCATGTCTGATTTTATTGATTGAGTCTTCTCTCTTTTTTTCTTAGTTAATCCAGCTAAAGGTTTACCAATTTTATCTTTTCAAAGAATCAACTCTTAATTTATATTTTGTATTGTCTTTTCAACTTCTGTTTTATTTATTTCTTGTGTCATTTTTATTATTTTTTCCTTGTACTAATACTGAATTCTAATCGAGAATGTAAATGACATTGACAATGAAAATTAGAAAATATTAATGAAAAGAACAGAACAAGACACACACAAAAAATGGTACTGGCATAACAACAGATACATAGAC